AGTGGAAAGGAATTCTGTGAATTTAAAAAAACAAAGGAAAAAGATTTATGTCATCAACAAATAAGCCAAACTCTGATCCTTAATTTTATATAACCAGAGTGTCGTTCTTTTTGTAAGTTGGAAACACGACCGTATTTGTAAACGTACTTGCAGAGCTCCAGCTCGATAGGTGTGCTGTTGATCTGCAGTGTTATTTCATGCTGTGTGCTTACAACAAAGTTTACTGAACTGGGCTGACCAGGCTCAAGCCCTGCAGGTACCACCCCTAGCTGCTGGTACAAACACTAACAGGCGAGAGAGCAGAAGCCAAGTTTAGAACATTATTGAACTTAAACCACACAGAAACAGAATCAAATGAGGGGAAATATCTGGCACGTGTGAGCCCACCTGGTAGCAGCGCTGTGACATCCAAGACACCTGCACCTCATATGACAACTCATTGTTGACCGTCAGCTGTGCCTCATCCATCTTCAGGGACAGGTGCTTATGATGATGTATATCAGCTAGAGTGAGTAAGAAAGCGCAGCAGGCATTGTGCAGATCAGTTGAAACCCAGCAATACATCAATTTTCTGCATATGAAGGTACAACGATGCTACAGTCTACGGTTTTCTATTGGTGACCCCACCCAAGCCGCTGTTCATATAATTAAAATCATCAGAAAACCATAACAGTGTGCATGCCATTACGCTGGTTATTATTCGATCAAAATGCGCAAACGTGCAAAATAATCTCATCTTTCCCGACTGCACAAATGTTATCAAACAAGTCAGAGAACTAATAACGGGTGGTCGTGATGCTTTTCGTTTTAATACGCGACACAAGAAGCCATCTTTCTGTAATTTGTCTCAAATCTATCGACCACAGCCGATGCTAAGGACCACAAACCTACTCCATACCAGTGTGCGGTAGCGAAGAAGCCCAGTTTGACAGCAAGCTACAGCCAGAAAGGTAAAGCTAGCGTCTGGAGGGAGAAAGCATGTGATAGAGCCAGTGGTCACATGCTGCATTAATCCCTAATTTACCACCGAGAGGGAAGTTCAAACCGCTGAAGCTCACGTTTCCATTATCAGCTGTTCTCAGTTGATACCGTTTTACAGTTAGCCGCTCGATAGCAGGTTAATAATTAAACATTTAAACCGCTTGTTTGTTGGAGTAAACCTTCAGCTATCGTCAAAAAACCCATAACCACTGCTGCTGTAATATAATTTCAACAAATACGGGAGTTGGTGTAAAACACTGCTAAACATTAGCTTGCTCGCTAGCTTGCTAACCTGGTAGCAGTAGTCTCCTGCTTTTACTTTCTTTCAGTTCAGGATACTTACACGAAGATATTTCAGCTGCTAGTGGTGCCACGCAAACAGCCACGACCAAAGCAACAGCAGCAAGGGCAAAAGTGGCACTTTTCTCCGTTTGTGCCATTTCTTTCTGGCTCTTTGGTTTAACCGATGCTACTGAATACGAGTGACATGTATTGTTTTTCTTAAGCTTCCTTTTTGCCATGGCAAAGGTTACTTTCGATCCGTGTACTTGTTTTGGCACTCTAGTGGGAGCGAGAAGGGCCAAAGTACTATACCTGTTCTACTACCCCAATAATTGTTAGGTAATGGAATGGTTATTGCACATATTCATGTTTGCGATCGGCACTAAAGTCGCACAGTATTCCCAATAAAACTGTGGTACTGGATGAGGAACTCAGGAGTGCCAGAGAGAAATATGTGAGGGTGGTGCAGGACATGTATGAGGACAGCGAGATAGTGGTGAGGTATGCCGTAGGAATGACAGGTGGCTTCCAGGTGGGGGTGGGACTACATGAAGGATCGGCTCTGAACCCCTTTTTGTTTGCAGTGGTGATGGGCTGATAGATCAGGCCAAGCTGGAGTCTGTGGACAATGGTGTTTGGAGATGATATTGTGATCTATGTGAGCAGGTAGCATGGTGCATGTTTGGAGACGGTGGCACTGACAAAAACACAGGAGGCTGAGATGGAGGTGAAAGAGCTAAAGATGCTGAGATTTTTGTTGGGAATAACCAAGATGGACAAGATAAGAAATGAGTATATAATTTCTAATCTTATCACAATGTCTCAGTTTAAACATTTGTTTTCAGTGGGGGTTTTTTTGTAATAAATGTGAATAAAATATGATCAAATCATTTAATTGTGTGAAAAAAGAAAAGTAAAGCTGTAACAAGAAACATTGAAATTGTTCCTACATTTTATGTTTAAATATGAAAATTAGATATTGTCTGTCTAAATATATGGAGATCTGTACACATTTCCACAATCTGAAAACTCCATAAGCCAGGAAACACTTTTAACAGAGAGAAAAAATAAGCTATATAAAAAAATTACACATAAATAAGTTTGGGTGTTGTTGTTCTTTTTTCTCCCTTTACGCTTGTACGTCCGCTGAAACGTCAAGGACTCTAAATCGATGATCGAGTGGCTCAACGGTGCCTCCCATCGGACTTCATCGTTCACAATGGCAGACAAACAAAATGCTCAGAAGAGGTAATGTGTACATTATTGCGAACATGACTTTTAGCGGCGTAGCTAAGCATAAAATCCATTAGAATAAATAATAGAAGTAAAGAAGAATTAGTTACAGCGAATTGAAGATGCTGATGTGGCCAGTTAAGACAGCTCAATGAAGTAGCTAGCTAGCAGCGTTAGCTAGCATGTACAAAAACATTTCTCGTTTCTGTTGCAGTGTCAAGATAGCAACTGGAGCCGTGGTTTGTGTTGAAAGCGAAATCCGAGGAGACGTTACCATAGGTAAGACTATGCCCAGTAATCGGAGTTCAGAAAACTTGCTTTTCTCTCACAGCAGATCAGTCCCAAGGCAGGAGTTGAATGGCTGTCATCACTGTTCTTGATTACTTGCTGCACCTCTGTTTCTCCAGGCGCCAGGACCGTGGTCCACCCAAAAGCTCGCATCATTGCTGAGGCAGGACCCATTGTCATCGGAGAAGGCAACTTGATTGAAGAGCAAGCTCTGATCATTAACAGGTTATCTAAGGCCTCGGTGTACCATGTTTTCCACTAGGTTAACCATCGTTGACCATCTCTGGTGATCTGTCACTGTTCTTACATGCGAGCTTGTGTGATCTTCCCCACAGTTACCCAGAAAATATTATACCTGATTCTGAGGTGGAACCAAAAACAATGACCATCGGTATCAACAACGTCTTTGAAGTTGGCTGTGGTATCCTTTTATCTAATCTAGCCAGTACTGCTCCATATATGATTTTTAAATTGTAACACAATAAATCTTTGTAAAAGAAATCATGTTTTGCCTCAACTGACAACAAACAGTATCGCAAGCTTTAAAAATTGGAGACAACAATGTGATTGAATCTAAAGGTGGGATATTGCCTTCCGTTTCTTTGGCTTTCAGTGAGTGTTCAAGTCTGTATAATTTCGATTAAGTCACTCACGTTACCAAATATCCTTTTTTGTTGACTAGCGGATGTTGGCAGGAATGTAATCCTCACCAGTGGCTGTATAATTGGAGCCTTCTGTCAGGTCAACACTTGTGAGGTCATACCCGAGAACACGGTCATCTACGGCTCTGGATGTATGAGGAGGGTGCAGACTGAGAGACCCCAGGTATGGAGATCTGTGACTGGAAAACATCGTTGGTGTAGTCAAATAACCTAGATGTAGCATTAGCATTGCAAATTGAATATCAAAGCATTATTTTTTGAGCTTCCAAGTGGGCTAATCACATGTATGTTTTCCTGATGAAACAAAAAATCTGATGTTTTATTAGATTCAGATTTTTAAAACTAATTCTCCCTCTAACTTGTATCTGGGATCTATATAGAAAGTTTTTAATATTTTACAACTCTGAGCATTTCGTACAAGTGCAAGACAAATGCTACATTAGCCACACTTGAGTTTCATATGGATTTGGGTCACATTTATGATGCAAATAATTGTTTTTAAGCATTCAGCATTAGAGCTGAGAAACACAGTAACACCATGGGCAAAAACTCAGCATCAACAGACTGTCTGAAAATGTGTAAAATATTCAGTTTCTCTCATTTCCGTCACATTCACCAAGAAAACACTGAAGTGATATTTCATATTTAATGTTTTTATGTAAGATTTTCATACATGCCCACTTGTTTAAAAGTTTGTGTGCAGAGAAAACTTTTGTGCATTATGCTCATCATCATGTCTGTTATCTCATTTCAGCCACAGACTCTTCAGCTCGATTTTCTGATGAAGATCTTGCCAAACTACCACCATTTGAAGAAAACTGTTAAAGCAGGCCATGCTGCTAGCTAAAATTACACTTTATACCTTTTGAAATGCAGAGAATATCAATGTTTAACTAGATCCTGCTGGAAGAAAGCATGAATGTATATAGTTATGTACCTACCCTGTTTTTGCTCTTCAATTACTGATATTTTCTACTCTGATCTGCAACAGAAGATTAAGCTTCTCATCTTTCTCCTGCTATGCCGATGTACCTTTTGTTTTTTACGATTAACTTATAAGGTACACAAGCTGTACTAGATTTGCTCATTTCTTATGATGGCAGTTACCAGTATTTTTATCATTAAGTTGTAGAAGGTAATTTCTGCCATTCTGATAAAGAATTTACACTAACAATAAATGAAACATTTTAAATATTTAGATGGATTCAAATGTTGACTTTTTTAAACGCATAATGTTGACACTTAAAATGGCAACTTATTGATCTAATCAAAGCAGTTTTGTGTAGCAGTATAATTTATTTGAGTTGGTTCAAAAATGCTAATATTTCTTAAACCACTATATCACGGTGTTGCAAAGTAAAACGCATTTAAATATTTTAAGTTCCACAAAGCTGAAGACATTTCCTGCTGGATGAGTTTTCAGTGTGATGCGATACACTGCACAACACACGGCTGTTTTTTGCAGTTATTACAAAAGCATAACCGTTGCTAACCATTCAAATAAAAACCTTCCACACACTATACTAAATATATACAAACAATATGAAAGAAAGCTACACAATTCAACCTTATTTACTTTAACAGTAAAGTTGTGGTTTCCCCTTTAATTGGTGAGGGCGCCAGCTATCCTAATGATCCAAGTATTCATGTCCTTCACTGACTTATACTCAAAAGGTTTCCACAACACAGCAACTACTGACTCCATGTAACATAAAACCAGAGATTGTTGAGAGGAATGCAAAGAAAGGGGGGAGAAAAACAGCTAATGTTTTGAAATAACATTCATCAGCAGTTTTTATGTTATAGTGAGTCTAGAATAACCATCTCCATGCATTTCTGTGTTACATATGGGACTGAATGAATATATTTCACTTCTTTATAGGCACGCCATCTGAGTAATCCTCCAGTAATCCAGCCAAATGGTTGTTGTGCGTCTTGAAGTTTCTCTTCCTCGGTCCGGCTGGCTTCTTTCTCTTTTGAATTGGTAACTGTGAAGAGCAAAGATAATCAGCTCTCATTCATTTCCTTGAACAGGTGTAACCATAAGAACTGCATATTAAAGACTTTCTTATTTCTTTCTAACAAATCTCTCACACACACACACACACACACACATATGTGTGTGTGAATTAAAAAAACACTGACCACTTTCTTTGGTCCCGTTTCTTGCATGGAGGAAATGCCTTGTTTCTTCAGGTACTCTTCAATCTTGTCCTCATCTATAGAGTCAACTGGAACACTCCTCCACAGCTTCTGAAATTCTGACATTGAAAGCAGCTACACTTGAAGAGCCGGACACATAATCTTAACTAACCAAACAAGTCACAGACCTGAATGAAATGCATAATATGAGTTTTACAAAACACTTCTGATATAGATCTAATACAACAAACATTTCATTTCACAGTTGAAGTAAAGTTGCCTGAATCTTCGTCAAAGCCAAATTGGTTTTCACTTTGCACATGCTCCACCTCTCCAAATAGCACTGAAATTTGGCAAAAACATTATAGCTTAAGTTGCAGACAAAGGCAATATAAAGCATGCTGTACCCCCAACATGGATCACAAGTAACATCGGAGGACAGAAATTCAGATCATTATGAATGTTCCAGTTCTAACTCGCGAAAATGTATGACGAAGACTTCCTTGATGTTAATTCTAACAACTTACCCAAGTAAAAATTGATAGCATAAACGTAGCTATTGTGAGATTGCCCACCGGTTTGAAGCATGTAGCCTTGAGAATTTCTGGACCTTGGTTGTTGGTCACTCAAGTGGTTAGCCAATGAGTTGTGTACCAAGGATAATCCTCCGTTTGTCTGATCTTATTGTAAAGCACTTTGTGATTTTTATCTGTGAAATGTGCTATATAAATAAATTTTACTTACTTACTCCGTTTTGAAATACAGTTTGACCAGGATTTACAAAATATACTTTTTTGATTTAATATGATTAAAATTTAGTCATAGTATAACTGAATCCATAAACAACAAGAAAATGTTCACAGAGTTTTAGCTGATTTCAGTTCGACTTCTATAGAACTGATAGTCTTTTTGCAACCACAGCTATCGCCATCTGGTGGCATTCAGTTAGAATGCAGGTTTTCAGACAATTCACTAGCTTATTACTTATAAGCTACATCCATTTTTTTTTTTAAATCTCTATGGTGATAATTTCACACTTGGAAAATTCTTACATGAAATGAATGCAGAGTGAGGGCCAACTGGGTATGCATAGCATGCATAATAGTCAGTTTAGGTCAAAGACGGATACACAGAGAAAGAGGAAGACATGTCACCGTACAATTTACGGATAGACCAATACCGATATACCAATACTCACCTTCATCTACCGCAAACTGGCAATGCTTGTCATTGTAGAACAAGATCTTTTTCTTGTCTGGTCTTGTAACAAAGATGATCTGATCCCCCAAAGCCTGTGAACGATCACACAAGAAGTCTTTACCATGCTTTAATTGTTTAGTTGCCACAGTGTTCGCACATCACCGAGTGGCATCTTAGTGGTGTTTCCCTAAAAACTGAATAATGTTTAATACCTTGATGGCCTTGGCTGAATTGGGCAGCCCTTCCTCTACATCTTCTAGTAAGACTCCTCCCAGGCCCAGTTGGTCGTGCTTATCCAGCAGCCTCAGTAAGGCTTTCTTGTCCTTCAGGTTGTATTTAGGCTTGAAGCCATAGGTTCCATCCCGGACTTCAATTTTTGGATTGCTGACCAAGGCCTGAGATTGGTAGGTGAAAGTAAAGCACAAGATTATATATAACCCCCCTCCAATAAAAAACAAAATATAATAAAAACTGACACCTTGAAAAGACTAAACAAATAGTACAGTAGCTTTTTCTTCTTCGGTAAGTGTAGCCTTCCAATGTAAAAAGATGGCTTAATGTCATACGATGTATTATCAGCTTAATTTCTCATCACTTACTTTCAATGGCTTTTTTGTTTTGCAACATACCGAATATGTTTGGATGAGAATAACTTACAAATTAGCTTGAGGGGAAAAAACAAGTATTGTGTAGATTTAAGGTGAGACTCGTAAAAGAAATTGCTCAGAGAAAACGCAATTGACCTTAGTACTACTGACAATAAAAGATAGAGGTATGGCATTAAAAATAGCACAAAAGCACCTCATTCATGAGCCACTGTTTCTGCTTCATGCTTATGTCAAGAAGTTTGGTCTCATCAAGAATCTCATCTAAGGTCAGGAAGTGCGTGTCCCCATTCTGATGCCTCGTCTGAGAGATTAAGGACAGAAAAGCAGACATTAGGTAAACACACACACAAAACAATATTCACAGCTCTCTTATTTTCTGCACCATGGAGAAGATTTTAGGCAAATATCTACAGTAATTTTATAGGATTCAGAACTGTGCATTCAACAGGTGGCACAAATGCACACATTTAACAGGAAAATCTGTCAATCTGAGTGTGAGTTCTTCACCGAGGAATGAGTCAAACAGCTAGTGTGACAAGGCCTGGCTGCCTGTTTGCAGAGCCACAGCATGATAAACAAGCTGTTAACATACCAAAAGAAAGACTGGGGACCAAATGTTAACCCAGCGGGCACAAATGACTCACTCATGTTTTACAACAGACAAATGTCAAGCTTTATTATTAAACAGTTTGGTGAAAAGATAAAATCTTATTATTTGTGTTGGTCCTGCTGAAAAAAAAGGTTTTAATGTCCCCCTCAAAATCCTCATTACCTTCATGTAATTTACTATCTTGGCCAGGCAACCAAACTTGTACCCAGAGCTCGTCTTAATGTTGAAGCTGCCATTAGATTCTGTGGAAAAAAAAACAACAACATTTAAGTTTAACCAATTTATTATCGCAAGACTGAATGTACAGTGAGATTTGAGAACTACATGGACTGACATATTTGTGCAAGAACACTTTGCTGAAAATGTATTTCAGATAATTGACTACTGTCATGTCAGCTCCTGTCAAATGAGCAGCGAGTGTTTAATGAGGTCATTAAAATCCTAACTGCATTCATTATTTGACATTTTCTTATTGTCAATATTCAGTGAAAAGACAGAAGCAAACAATGCATTTGTTTGCCACTCTCTATTTTGCCTGTCAGCCTTCATTTGTTCCTATTGAAGACGCTATCATCTGAAACAGGTCAAAGGAACACAATGACATTGAGGCTAATTCAGGTTTTAAGCAAACCTGACTCATACGAGAGTTAATGCTGGGGACTACTTCCAGATACAAAGTAACACTCCAGGAAGCTAGTGAGTATTTACAGCTGCAGGGTATGTATTTTGGGTAACACAGAAACACGTCACGCAGTGCAAAAATGTGGCAGATTTAAATGTTTGCAACATTAAAATACTACACAAGTCATATATCAAGCCAATCTGATTTAGTTTGACTTGAAGTCCGGCCAGCTGGTCTTATTCTCTGCTGGAGTCCAATAATGCTGCTCCCCTCAGAGACTGACTGAGGTCTGGACTCGGCATTCACCAATCAAAGCTGAAAACAGACACTGATTCATGAATGATTCATTGTGTAGGCGGGAGCTTCTGTTGCTTTGAGCTGCACAGTAGGCAGGACGGTGAAACTGTGACAGACCAGCTAACGAATGGTGCAGAGGCAGGGCTAATAGAAAGGAGCCAATGATGTAGACAATCCTGTGCTGTTCAGCTGAGACATGAAGAGCTGCAAGGAGTGGCGGTGGAGGAGAGCGACTGAAAGTGCACGAGAGCACTGAGGAGGAAAGCAGGTTGAAGAGTGAATGTGGAGGAGGGAAAGAGTGTAAACGAAGAAGATAGGTGGAGCACCAAAAAGAGGAGAGACATTTGTCGGCTTACATCTTCTAAAAACTGAGCCAGACACACAGGTGAGTCTGCATGTTTTTCTGAACACCATCCTCTGAATAATGTGCGTGACATCAACAGATCATAATAATCCACAATATAAATTTAAGCTACAGGCTACAGGCTGCACTGGGTTTTCACTATGAAGATATGAATATGAGGATTTTTTTTTAGAGCGTTCTAATATTTGCAGGATGAAGTCATGCATCTTTAAATGCAGTGGATGTATTTACAAAGCCAGGTCCTTTTGCGTAGGAATTACAACATTTAGACTGTATAAGTGAACAGTGGATTAAATATACATGGATCTGTCTGCTTTCTACCCACTTGAATACCAAGCATCAGAACCTGTCTGTGTGTACTTATGGATATCATGTATGTGTTTGTTTAAATGCATGACTCAAGACAAATCAATGAAGGACTGAGTGCTGTGAGGAGCCAGCCAGGGGCATTAGGAGTGTGTGTGTGTGTGTGTGTGTGTGTGTGTGTGTGTGTGTGTGTGTGTGTGTGTGTGTGTGTGAGAGAGAGAGACAGCCACTGTGTAGAGAGGAACCTCCAGCTCTACACCTTCAGAGCCTGGCTGGGGTGGGGCTGTTTTGGTGAGTGATAACAGATGCAGGAGTCAATCTGTCCCTGTCTGTATAATTGCTCCGACAAAAGAAAGGAGGGTGACCCCGGGGGGGGGGTATAAATTAGTAACAGAGGTTGTTGTAAAGCCATGACTTGAGGTGAAACTGATATTAGGAGCTGGGTTTGTAACAACAGGATCAAAACAGTTGATTCAACGCAAAATAAAACAACACAAAACCCATACTGTACACACAACTTCCAGACAAAGTGGGGAGAATCTGGTGAGGGCAATGTTCAAAGCTGTCCTTCCTCACATGTAGAGCATAATAAAGGAGACAGCCTGTCCAGCAGTCACGTGCTACCTGTGATCTCAAATGACAATTACCTTGACTACTCTCAATTGCACACTGATACACACTGCATGGACTTTTTCTATTCTTACATGCACTTCCATCAGGTGTCAAGAGAATTTCAGACTAAGATGAAGCAACCAATGAAAATGTCTCACCAGGACAAGCCACTAAGCTTTTTCACATTTAAGTTCCCAGGTCACCTGAAACTCAAGTTACAAACCCACTAAAATAAACACACAAACAAGTCATATTAAAACAACACAAGTCTATGCACGATGGCATGTGTTTGCACACATTTAGCCTTATTAAATCTCTAAAGGAAGAGATGGTGGAAAGAGATGCACTCACGCCCCACTCCTACAACTGGGTCATCTGCCTTCGCCTCAATATTTCATGCACAAATGTCTGTGATTGTCTGCATACAAGTGTGTGTTAAGAGCATGTATGTGCACTTTTGTGCATGGCTGTGTGGGCAGAGACACTCCACAGTGTGCCCCGAGGATTTTAAAATGGTAGGTGTTGGCTAAAAATGGGAAAGAACAGCTGAAGTGAGGCAAATGTGCACTTGAAGGATCTCTTAAGTTCATTATTTTATTACAGTTCCGTTACTACATTTGTATAAGGCATTGTGGCCAAAGAGCTGCACACCAAGCATAGATGGCACAGTTCTCTACACACCCATCCTTTATTACCAGCCTTTTAAGGCTATTTTTGTTCTGAGCAGATGGCCTCAGTAGGGTTTCTGGTGTTTTGCAATATAACCTGTGCTATAATAATACACCATCTTCTCATTTCACACAAAAAATATGTCTGTAATGACAGATGTAGACTAGGTTTTGTTTACATACATACAAAGCAGTTTATCTTTTTACAACATGATCCCCTTCGTGACTGATAACGAAGCGTTACATTCATTACAACAAATTACCTATAAGAGTATTTGATAGTTTTATGAGAGTAAATGAGTTTCCATGTCTGCCTGCTGTCTCGAGTGGAACAAATTCCTTTTTCAATATCAGTATCACAAAGATCATTAGTTTTAGTTTTGTTTTTAATTATCACAATAATCAGGAGCAAATGCTTCAAAAAATCCTGGAATAGAGCCAGGCACATCTGGTTAAAAGCACTGCATCACAATGTGTTATGCCCTGAAGACAAATTCTCCCATTACTGTCATTTTTTAATCAGCCTCACACCATGAAAACACGAATTTAACAACCGCTGCTTTCATTTTGAAATTTGATCTGCAGTAAAACCAAGACCCAAACACTGTCATAAGCATTAACAATCTTTTTTTCCTTGTGTCTTATTGTTTCCAACCAGAAATCATGACCAACATCACAGCTACTGTTCATCCAAACAATCTCCCACTGCGAGAAGAGGGAGTCCCTCTGTCCCTCGTCTCCTTTCAGGTCCAGGAAGTCTACCCATTTCATGATGGCTGGAATGTGGCCTGTTTTGTCATCCTTCTTCTTTTTATTCTCACCGTCCTGTCCTTGGCAGCGTTGGCTGTGCTCTATGAGCTGCTGGACTGTGGGTGCTGCGCCAAAGGGAAAACACACCACCAGCTACAGGAGGAAGGGCCGGGAAGCTGCAGCAAGCTTATGAGTAGCATGTGCAAGGAGCCAGAATCCCACACTGAGGTGGTATAGTGGCAACAAGGACGAAGTAAAGAATAATAGGAATTTGGATATTGTTGCTCATTTGGACAGGACCACACTACTGACTAAGATGTTTGCAAAAATGAACTCCCAAAAACCCCCCAAAACACTCAAAGTAATTCAGTTGTTCACAATTAGAGGTGAAAGCTGGTGACTGAACGATATAAATGTATCTTCCCACATCTACCGCAGACCCCGAAAGCCATATTTCACTTCTGAAATACTCCCAGAAGAAAAGAAGATCACCTGAGTATTTATAACATGGCTTAAAAACACAAATTTACACTACTTAAAGTACCCATATTATGCCCTTTGAATTATTCCCTACAACTTTATTCGAAGCCCATTTCTATGGAAGCCCGTTTCCGCCACTAAAAAAAAAAAAAAAGCTAGTATCCATAACTCGAAATTTCGAGTTATTTTCTCGAAATTTCGAGTTATTTTTCTCAAAATTTCGAGTTATTTTTCTCAAAATTTCGAGTTATTTTTCTCAAAATTTCGAGTTATTTTTCTCAAAATTTCGAGTTATTTTTCTCAAAATTTCGAGTTAGCTCTGCCAATCAAAAATATACGTGAATGAGGTCGCTTTCTTGTTACCTGGAAGCATATGGCGCAGGACCGCGCACTCAAAAACGGATCCCAACAAATTAAAGTATGTTTGCTGATAGTAACACCATGTGATTCAGCTAATAACACAGGGATTTCATCATTTGTGAAGCCAGGCTGAAAACACTCAGCAATCTGTGCATTCACGACTGGATGTAATACCGGTAGCTTAGCTGTAGCATTTGTAGCTGAGGGCTTCAGCTTCCGGGTAACATGGAAATGACGTCATTCACGTAGATTACTGATTGGCAGCGCTAACTCGAAATTTCGAGTTGCTTTTCTCAAAATTTTGAGTTAATATGTCGAAATTTCGAGAAAATAACTCGAAATTTCAAGAAAATAACTCGAAATTTCAAGAAAATAACTCGAAATTTCAAGAAAATAACTCGAAATTTTGAGTTATGGATCCTTTTTTTTTTTTTTTGTGGCAGAAACGGGCTTCCATACATTTCAAATAACTTATTAGTGAGAAAACTTTGCCTTTATTTTTATGGGAATGTTGCCAGGACAACAGAAAATCCCCTATGTTTAGTGCTAATACAGCTAGAGCTTCTGTACTCATCTCTTGCTCACAGAAATTGTATTCTAATACTGCAGAATTTCCAATAAAGCACTTCTCATTTACATAATATTCTTTTTCAGGTGTAAGCAAATAATCTCGATAAACTAGTCATAAACAGCCTGTTACCATAAACCATATACTATTTTTAAGCTATTTTCCACCCACTCCTCTGCATAGCTTAGGTCCTCACAAAAGCAACACTGGCTGACAAAAACAAGCTAAAGACTACGGCTCTACTTTACATTATATTGAAAGAGACATGAGCAAAACAAAGGGTAAAAGACGTGCTGCAGCAGTGTACAGTATAACAAAACTAATGCATGCATGTCCGTGTGTTTTACAAGTCTAAGCTGATGACTCAGCTAGTCCTAAGCACCAAGACAATAGTTAGCTGATGCATCTCTTAAGGTTACTCTTCATCATATATAAATGAGGCAAATTGTTATTCAGTTATTTTCTGCTGATATACACGTGAAATAAACTCCTCGTGTCTACAAATCTGCCTCTTCTGCCTGCCAGTGTACGATGCTACACAAGCAGCTCAGCTCTTTTATCCATGTCATATAGTGGGTGGCTAGTGCTACATCAATAAAGTGTAATGCTTAATTGTTTTGAACACTCTGCCTTTGGGTCGAACAGTTTTCCTGGACGAAACCCTGTAAATAATCTTATCCTGGTACACCACTAAAATACATTCATGGGCTTGTTAAGGGGCATGACATGGGGACTTTAATATAGGCTGTGGCAGAATGTGTTGCATTAAATGGGCATTTTCTTAGTTTGATTATTTTGGAAACTGATTATTAAGTTGCATGGGAAAAAAAACGTTGGGGAAAAAAGCATTTTCTTACCCTGCTATATGGGTGTTAAAAAAAAAACCTGTTCAGAAAAAACAACTACTGTGTGAGTGCTTTTTTTGTGACCTACTGGATGCAGTGAGCTTCTTCAAGACATGCTGTTTCTGAAATTGCCGTCCAAATCTTATTACAACAATATCTGTTGATCAAGCCTAGTCAGATGAAATCATTGCTTAGGATAAAGCTGGTGTTCTTCAGTAAATTGTAAGCCAGTGTTGTCAACATGTTTAGCACTGCAACATTATCTCATGACAAGTTCGCATGCTGCACAGTGATGTACGGTAAAATGTTATATTGAGCACTATGTGTAATTTCATGCCTTACCACAAAATGCCTAATAAAAGCTGACTCACTTTTCTGTTAACAGAAGTAGCTTTTTCTTTAAGAGTATATGGCGTGACATTGCAATTTCGAACGGATGCCAAGAGGCCACTGCTCACAATTCTTATGTTGTATATATATTTATGCATGTTGCTTTAATTCATCTGAAAGAACATTTTAAATGCAAAAGTGTCATAAGTATCACTTGTAATCCAATTTTCTTTTATCTAAATTTGACTGAGCAGTAAGAATTCTAGTTTTTTGGGTTAAGCTAAGGATTTAGAATGAGAAAAGATCGTCACCTGATTAATTTAACCTGTGAAGTAAGGTTCTTTCTTATTAGAAATAACAACCAGGAGAGTGTATTATTCCAGTGTCTTGGTTGTCTTGTTGAATCACAGTAAACTGACACGCACAACTTTAATTACATGGATCCTCAATTTACTGTCAAGTCTTTAGGGCAGATTAATTTTGAGTATCGACCCAGTTGAAAGTTCCTTCATCCACTCTAAAATGTCTTTTGGTTCACTTGTTAGACTTTCATAATATAAAAAGCTATATACTGATGAGATGAGATTATTTTATTCAAAGCTAAAGCAACTAGCATTGGTGCATATTTAGGCCTTCGATTAGATATTAACCAGCTGGATGTGTGAAAATTGTTTTGGTGTCCAAATATGAGCAATCCGATTGTACAGAATAAGCCTGTTATGTTGCGAATAGATTTTGATTTTCAAAGAACTATAATTAATGGCACAGATAAACAAAAATCTACTTTTCTTCATTTAAAAATATGTTTTCCATTAAAGAAATTATTAATATTTATTTTCCCAAATCGTATTAAGTTACAGGATTTTCTGAATCAACAGAAAATAAGGTGATCTTCAAATAATCAATAGAAAATGTTTTTAGTTGTTGGTTTTTTTTTGTTTTTTTTATTCACTCGTGTCCATAATTTTCCCCTCATAGTTACTTTGAGCCATACTGAGGGTGCTCATTTGTGTCTGGCTCTGAGCTTTGTGAAACTTTAGCGTTAGCCACATTCCCTTTTCATATTTAAATGTCTAATTAGATTTCTTGTTTATCAATGTTTTCTCGCTGGTACCCCTACAGTGTACTTTGGTGAACTTTGTCTCTTCACTCACAGTGAGAAGCTTCCACACTAACACCATGTCAGGCTGTGAGAGTGCATGTGAATATTTTCCTACACCGCTATACAATCAGTTATATGGGAGACTGAATGGCCAGTCACTGGGCGGAGCTAAGCACTGGAAATCTGCAGAATCCAGTCCCTGGCCAGTCAGTCGATGCATCTCCTACTTGCCAACATATATCTACAGATGCTAGCCAGTGGTGATGTGAACCAATAGAGACATTAAAACACTAACAAACAAGAATAAGTGGTTTACAGCAACAAACATCACCCTTTTCAAGAAAATATTTTTCACCTACCACTACTGAGTTTGGAACTAGAGGAGCTCTCCTTGTCAACTTTGGGTTTCTTCTTTTTGTGTGATCCAGAGTCTGAGGCAGCCTGTCTCTTCTCTACAGTTGGGGTGGAAAGTGCCCTTTTCTTAAAAAGCTCCCTTTCTCTCAGTAGAGCAGGATCCATCCTGTTTGAAAGATTAAAAAAAAAAAGAAGAAGATTCATTTAACAAAAGGCAAAGCAACAAAGCTCATTTTGATGGATTCAAGGAATCACATTCTTAATATATGTAAGTATACGTGTAAGTAGCAAGAACCTTTGGTGGCCTTTAGCTTCAGGGACTTATGAGCTGTCACCTGGTTGATCTTTTTGTAATAAAGCCATCAAGAAACGGTTTTTTCCCGATACCAACAAAACAACTGATATATTAAAAAAACCAAAAACTAAGCTGAAAAGTCATACAGCCAAATACTGTTCGGACACGAACCATAGTTATTAAATTTTTTAGAATTAAATGGCGTTAGAGGGAAAACAGTCATTACCCCAGAGCCACAAATATAAAGCTAGTTAAACTAGCTAACAATAGCTAGTTTATTTTCAATTCCGATTACAAACGGCTTTCAGTTGACTTTGTGATCATGTAAATCCCATAATAACTACAACTAACATTATGTTAATAAGCGAACGTTACTGAGTATTATGGGGAAACCAGGATAAATAAACAAACGTGGTGAAACACTGTACCAGAAGCTTAGTAGTTAACCTAGCGTTAGCATCACGATTAATTCAACATTACCTGACACTTTGTTCCTGTTCTCACTCAGAGAAAGAAGAGGGTTAGTCCAAGAGCACTAACTATATGCTGTAGATGTAAAACAGAATGCGTCCTCCACCGAATCACTGTTTTTTGTCGTTCCTTCGGAGACAACACAAGTAAACTTCATACACAATTTTACTGATGCTGCACTTCCGTTTCTAGTTCGATTTTTCCGGTATCGACAGCGAAGCCTGTATGGCGTCATTACGTACGTACGACAAAACGATGATTTACGATGAATAAAAAACTGCACGTTTAGAAAATATTGATGAAAACAATTTTCGAAATATATCTTCTATTTGTTTGGGTCCCTCTCGACAGATTAAATGTTTTGTTTTTTAATCCACCACAAAATCACATCAATTTACACGTTTTTTAACAAACTATAAAAGACAAAATATAAAAGAAAAAAAGATCACGCAGTAATTTTTGTTTGTGCAAAAGTTTGGTCTCTCCTTTATGCTATTTTGCTATAGTATTACTCGGGATTTATACTAATTGTCACATCCATATTCTTATTAACTACTGAAACGCTAAACAGGACAAGCCATAAAAATCAGAATCAGAATCAGAATCAGAATCAGAATGGGGTTTATTGCCAAATGTTGAGCAGGTTTACAACATTAGGAAATTGCTGCGGTGCTTCAGTGCAAACATGGTGTCATAAATAACACTTAAATAGACATGGAAAAAATAAAAGTAGGGATAAGAATTAAAAGTGCTACGTGGAAAGATATGTGCATGAGATATACATGAGATATATACATGAGAATAAGAATTAAGAGTGCTACGTTGAAAGATATATACATGAGTGCAGGTGGTGATCAGTGCCAAACATGGAATGATACAGTGAACACAGCGTAGGGTCATGTGTTAGTGGCGGGGACAGTCATACGGTTATTGTTCATGTGTCCAACAGCAGAGGGGAAGAAACTGTTCTTATGGCGAGAGGTTCTGGTGCGGATGGACCGGAGCCTCCTGCCTGAGGGGAGCAGGTCAAACAGACTGTGTCCAGGGTGAGAAGGGTCAGCTGAGATCCGAGCTGCACGCCGCAATGTCCTGGAGGTGTACAGGTCCTGCAAAGATGGGAGTCTGCAGCCAATCACCTTCTCAGCAGAGCGCACAACACGCTGCAGTCTCTGTTTGTCCCTGATAGTGGCTCCAGCGTACCACACGGTGATGGAGGAGGTGAGGATGGACTCAATGATTGCAGTGTAGAACTGCATCATCGTCCGTGTTGGCAGGTTGAATTTCTTCAGCTGCCTCAGGAAGTACATCCTCTGCTGGGCTTTCTTGATGACGGAGGTGATGGTGGGCTCCCACTTCAGGTCCTGGGTGATGGTGGTACCCAGGAAGCGGAATGAGTCCACAGAGGTGATGGGGGTGTCAGTCAGGATGATGGGGGGGAGTGGGGCTGTGTGCTTCCTGAAGTCCACAATAATCTCCACTGTCTTCTGGGCATTCAGCACCAGGTTGTTGTGGCTGCACCAGGACACCAGACGTTCAACCTCCCTCCTGTAGGCAGACTCGTCCCCGTCCGAGATGAGTCCAATAACGGTGGTGTCATCTGCAAACTTGATTAGCTTGACAGACTGGTGGGTGGAGGTGCAGCAGTTGGTGTACAGGGAGAAGAGCAGAGGAGAAAGAACACAGCCCTGAGGGGAGCCGGTGCTGATGGTCCGGGAGTCCGAGACATTCTTTCCCAGCCTCACATGCTGCTTCCTGTCCGTCAGGAAGTCAGTGATCCACCGGCAGATGGGATCAGGCACATTCATTCAAAATATATATCAACATAAAGTGTTTCTAGCTCACAGATTCCACTGCATGATAGTTGAATAAAAATGGGAGTTAAATAAACTTTCATATAAAGCTGCTAGTCTATTCGTGAATTGGGTTCATATAAGCAATACGCTATCGCCTAATATGCACCAAATCTAAATTTATGTGTCACAAAAAAATTTTTGTTTTACATGGACAAATTAAAGTCTTCTTTCATTTTACTTCTTCTGTTCTTCAGTTCTGAGTAAAAAATAAAAAGCAACAAAACAGGATATTATTACTTTAATTTATTTTTGAGTGTGTTTTGTGTAATTTATTTATTTATTTTTAATCATTGGACTTCTTGTTTTTTTGGGAAGAGATTATTGGCTCAGCATCGCCACTTAGAGGTTGTTTTAAACCCCTGCTTCTCATACTTAAGATACTGCCTTTATACGTTATTCAGTGTGAATGACTCAAGTAATAATTAGTAAGAAAAATAGTATCAAATCGAAAGAAAAATGCTGCCTACCTTTTAATGGCATTATCTATATGTTAAAACAAACAAGCTACAGAGGATGTTTCATGATCCCGTCATGGCCATCCTCTGTGCTGTGGTGTGATGGGGTACAGATAACAACAGACTCGATAAACCGATTTAAAAGGCCAGTGATATTGTGGGTCCAGAACTGACTCTGTGACAGACGTTTTAGAAAGAAGGATGCTTTCTGAGTTATGGTGAATATTAGACCGCACTTTGTACCATCTTCTGTTGTGCTGGGGAATCACAGGAACAGGTTCAACCATAATGCACCACAGAAAACCACGGGAAGTCATTCCTATGTGTGACCATCAAACTTTTGGGCACCTCCTTATGACACCTGTATTATTTACACTTGCAATATCTTGTATATGATTCATTGTTTTAACTTCGGAGTATTTAACTTTAATTTAATACAACACTTTAAGTGAATGTCTGTAACAAAACCATTTCCACCTGGTGTAAATAAAATATTCTGATCACAATTCTTTAATTCAGTATGGAAAAAATGTTACCCAAAACATAAGACACGTGACAAAATGTCCGAGTGCATAAAAACTGGAATGCAATAAAAGATTGAATGATTTTTTAGTTTTCCAAGGATTCATTTAAAGAGAAAAACAATCCAGGAGTTAAAAACAAACGACTGTTTGCAGCACTATACCTCCATTGTTATTGCAACAAAGCTGACTATTTTTTATGCCTGTGGCCACAATTTGTCTTGCACCCTGATGAATAAAACATGATTTGGCCTTAGTTGTCGCCACTCATTGTATTTAGAGAGAAAATTTGAATCGGTTCAAACTTAAAAAGGCCACATGTCCCCCCCTGCTTTTTTTGTTGGTTTTGTTATTAAATAAAACTCAGTATATCGGTTCATATGACTGAAGCCAGACTGCTGACTGAGGAAGGAAGGGGACTCCACTAGTGGGTAATCAGTTGTGAGAAGAGGTGAGATAAGGCTGCAGTATGCTGTACAACCAAGTCACCAAAGAAAATGAGAGAGCTAAGCACCCAGGAGCAGAAGAATGTGGAAGCCATAAAACAGAGCTGGGCCACAGTGTTCAGCTCAAACTGAAGCAGTCATATAAAAGATGGTATTTCTGAGTTTGTGCTCATTTGCTTCACATGCATTAGCTTTATACATAGACACAATGTCAAAGGAAGGGTGCCTCCTTGTTTTATTCAAGAGTTAAGCAGGAGCTTGCCTAAATCCAAAAGTTCTTTGGATGTTAAAATCAAGCACTTCATAGTTTTCTTTTTTAGTTTGATTGGCTTGAAAATAGTGTCAGAGAGCTTTCTTTGTAAGTTCAGCTGCTTTGTGCAGCACAGTGCATCGGGATCTTTGTTCCACAGCATTACTGTGTCACTTGTGTTTCACACTGTCTGTCAGCTTGAAGCCTCTATAAAGATCTGGTTTCAGATCTTACAACATTTTATCAAGTTAAAAAACACAGCTTATCCTCTGCATTGGGACTGTGTGGGTTGTTTGGTTTAAACCGACTAAAACATGCTTTTAAAAGACAAACACAGCCAGAAGAAAGAAATGCAGTGAACTCGCATGTGAATTAACCAATTCTAAAGTAAATATAGTCACTTAGATTAAAAGCTGATGATTACAATTGCAGGAGATCTTGTGGGGGAAAGTATCGTTTTCACAAGACTCTGTGCAGTCCTGTGGAAAAGGAAGTGCACTCCATGATTCAGTAGCTTGTAGAATCAGCACTAACTTAAAGTAATTGTTTCTTTTACAACTCTCACATCCTTGTGGAGGATTTTGGCCCACTCTTCTTTGGATCATTGTTTCAGTTCATTAACATTTGCACTTTTATGCAAAGCTCCCTTAAGGTCCTGCATCAGCATTTCAGTAAGGTTAATATCTGGACTTTGGCTGGGTCATTGCAACTTCAAGCCATACTTGTTGAGCCTTTTTTCAACATTTACAATCTACAATAAATCGCTGACTTTAGGCCGGTTTAATACATAAGTCTTCCTGTAAGTCATGCTGAATTTTCTATATGAAAAAAATAAAAATAAAAATCAACTAAAAAGGTGAAAAAAATAAGAACCCATTCCTATTCATTTGTGTATTGCACTGACATACTGTACAGCTTATTGACTGTTGGTATTCTAACCCCTGAGTGAGAGAAAATGCACAATACTGAGACTCGGTTTGCCTTCCTCTTGGCAAACTGCATGCTGTATTGTTATCTCATGTGTTTGTTATTAGAATGCATGTAAAGTAAGCAGGGATCAACAGCTCTGTCAGATTGATGTCTTTTAACAGAAAAGATGCTTTAATATGCTGGGAAAAAAAATACAAGCTATAAAAAGTGTATTACCAGCAGCTACATGGAGATAGGGAAATATGAATAGGTGTACTGTATGTGTGTATGTGCCTGTGAACTTTGTGTTGGTGGACATTTATGGGTAAAAAAAATCTTATCCTCCATCTGTTCCT